CTCAGCCTGTGATAATGTTTAAAATTTGGGTCACGGAGACAGATTTTGTGACAGCAAGCGTTAGCACTAATTGCAGGTTGAAACCGGTTTAAGCTCTAACCCGATTCAGTGCTCAGAATAACGTTACTTCTTACTCAGTAATGTTACTTCCTGATTACAACGTCCCGCTTGAATGTTAAATTAATTCGACGAGGGAAATTGATTACCTCACTGACAATGAATGAAATGTCGACTGGGAGTATAAGCATTGAACGAAACCTGCTTCTGCTATTCTGGTCTTCATTGTCAAATTAGTTGAAAGGTGGAGATCGGACAAAGAAATTTCATCTATGAATGTATCATAATTAGGTCACTAACAGACCATATTCGCATCGCTCTTTACATGAGTCAACGAGGAAAATCTCGAATAAAAGGCAGAGTGGATCGCTCGAAACCGTGCTACCGTTTTCTCTATTTTTTGATAATGCGACCAACCACTTCGACGCGTACGGCGAATGCGCTATATGGTGGGGTGACAATTGGAGGCACTGGTAAGTTCGAGAAAGACCTAAGGATGCCTTGGATTGAATCAAAAAGTGATAGAGACAAATGAGATGAGTAACTCAGACTCTTAGCGAAACCATGAAACAGATGGTGAAAAGGCATGCCAGGAGGCAGATATAGAATATCTGGTAGAGTAACTATTTGGATTCTAGTCTTTGGAACTTGTCAAATTGATGGAAGTCAGAACTAATTCAAATTCTAAAGCTGCTAAGCCGCAATTCGAAAGGAACAGCAGGTTCTGAAAATGGATGGATATTCTTATTCGATAGCTGTAATATAGCCATTTCATGGAATGAGTTCTTGGCTAAAGTGAGACTACAGCCGTAGTTACAAAAACCATCTATAAAGGATGAAATGTTGATTATCAAGGCAGTGTTAACCGAGGTCTGACAAACTGAAATACCTTGTCAGACAATGTTGTTTATGGAAATTACATGCCATCACACACTTGATGTGAAAGATTTTGGGCAACTGCTTGCATGATGTACGAAATTTTGAATTGTTTTTGTCCATTCGACGGCGGGCAACGTTGGTTGCTTTAGCTAGAAATACAATCGAAATTTGTTTAGAATGTGAAACGAACAATTGATTATCATTGACAGGGTGAAAAAGATTGCCCTACAAATAAAAATTTTTTTAAACTATTATTTACGCAAAGAATCAGATCTACAGATAAAGCCTTTAGAAGAATTAAAGAAATTTTAATTGACCAACTGGTTTGCATTACTGTCCGTGCGCACAGCCAAAAAATGGTTTCCCAGGTGTTATACGGCATAATCGTGCCGTCCTGTTGCTTCCACAAGCAACTGAATAGAATTAACAAGGTTGGAGGTTCAAGTTCCCGTGGGTCTCGTGAAGAATGGGGCCGTACGATTATACCACATAAACGCGGAGAACGAATGCTACATATTAATTGGCTCCTTCATTACTTTTAGCACGCTAATCGCTTAAGGGTCGCTATGCGTGCCCATAAACGCTCTTAAACGACCGTGCGATGAATCATGGATGCTTAACCGCATCTTTTTTAAGAGATCAGACCTGTAGATTTTTATAATTTTGCTATAATCAACTATATCCATCAGTAATTGACATTGTAACTTAGGTTTTCTGAATCCGGATGACACAATGGGATGGACGACCAGCAACGAAAAAGGCGAATTTACTGTTCAGGGTTGTGGATATGATTTATGGTCATTGCCTGAACCATACTTGAAAATTTTACACTTCTGCGGCAGCAGCAGTGAGAAGGTCTTGAAAACGCCAGCTAAATATATATTCAGACCACACACTATTGACTACGGTATTATCAGCTTGGAAGGAAATTAATTTGTGATGTTTCTTCGCTCTTCCTATTTTCAATATACTGCTTATTCACTGCATCTCAACCCGAACGCCTCATAGCGTAAACTTTGTACTCAAGAAAACTGTTGCTGATTAAGTCGTCACGATCTGCATTAGCCAGAGCGTCAACGATAAACCGGCTGCTCAGCTAATCCGGTTTTTAGAAAATTCCCAGAATGAAACATTGTGAGTGCGCCAATTGTCAGTTTTACAAAAAGTCAACATGATCGAACATCTATTTCTTGCGTAGGCAACCAAAGATTTCTACAGCATGAGAGAATATTCCCTCTATATACTGCTTCTGCCAAATAAACACTTACTTTTGATTAAAATCGTTCAAAAATTGTTACAGAAATCAAGATACTTAATATTTTTCGAATGGTGAAACAGAAACCAGCACTTGCCAGACAGTATCAAAGGTAGAATGCAAGCATCCCGCTTTTCAACGTCTTCACGGCGTACTTAGATGACGTCGCAAAGGATGCTTCTGCCATTAACATGCGTTAAAATTTTGAAACGACTGACTAGTCCCTCCCTGAAGAATTTTTATCAGTGACTTGATACAATCAGTTCTTCTGTGGGTTTAATACAAGTGGCTTCAAACAACTGTGCAGTGACAAATC